GGCACAGGCCCCCAGGCCCTCCCCAGCTCTCTGGGAGCAGGGAGGCTTTGCTGTGCCCAGCCTGGGCACCCACTGCCAGGCCCGGGCTGGCCCCGCCCGGGGGCACCCGGCTGCTTTGCCTCTTACCGGAGCCGAGGCCGGTACAGCTGTCACACACCCAATGAGTTCTCCTGCTCCTCAGGTGGGAGCAGCGCCTGTGGGTGCCCTGAGCAGCGCAGGAGTTGCACAGGAGCAGTTGCCAGGGCCTGAGGAAGCAGATGGGTTGATGGTTGTGAGAACAAAGTGACCTCTGCACAGGATTTTCTGGCCCAGCTTTTGTTCTCAGTCCTTCTGCTTTGAGCCTGTGGCGAGGCAGAGATCCTGTGCAAAGGGAGCCCTGGAGTGCAGCTTTGGCAACTTACCCCTCTTCCTCCACATGCTCCCTGCCGTCTGGGCAAGAGCACTCCCTGGCATCGCAGCGGCTGTGCGTCTCAGTGGGCTCCTCGTTTTCCTGGCCGTACCACCATGGCAGTCTGATGGAGAAAGGAAAACTGATGAGCCCCTGCTGCCCCAGCATAAGGCAGGGTGTCCCTGCTCCTTCCCTGCTGCCCTATTTCCAAGTCCTCTGTGAGGCTGAAGCCCAGACTCAGGGGACAGCAGAGGGCCAGGACTGGCCCTGGCCTGGCACAGCGCTTGCACCTTCTCACTCATGAGCTGGGCAGGACACCAACCTTACTGGGACGTGGATCCCTATAGTGAGCATTTCCATCAAGAAGTCATCCCTGTTTCTGCAGACTGGGCACTGGAACCACAGAATGCCCTCGTGCATAGCCTGTCGCTGCAGGAGAAACAGGAGCCTGGGTGAGGCCCTGGTGCTGCTGAGCATCTGCCACGCCACGGGGGGCGAGGGGACAGCTCCTACCTGGATGCAGCCCCTGTGGAACCAGGCATGTTTGCATACTGGGCACACCAGGGTGTGGTAGGACTTTCTGTCCCCCACAGGGTCCAGGCAGATGAGGCATGTGGTGTTCTCCTCCGGAGCCGCCTCCGCTGCCTGCTCTGGCCGGTGCTCCCAGCAGAAGGACCTGGAGAAAAGAGAAAAGCGCTGTGAGAGGTGCTGGGTCCTTCCCAGGTCGTGGGAAGCAGAGGGAAGCAGGGGAGAGGAGGTACCTGTATGGAGCAAAGAACTGGGTGGTGCATTCACCCGCGGTGGAACAGGGGAGATGGAAACTGCGGTCACACCCAGTCTCGTGGCAGGTGATGGTCGCCCCGCTGTTGCTGCACACGATGCAGTGCTGGAAAGAGCACGGCAGCCCACATCAGCAGCAGCCTCAGGACCTCCACTGCCAGACCCACACCTCCCAGGCAGGGAGCAGGATGTGGCCGCTGCTGGGTCACACCTGGCTGAGCTGCCTGGCGGAGAAGGCTCCTGTGCTGGAGCCTCTGTGGAGCTGCTGGAAGCAAGACTTTTGTCCCAGAGTTGGTTGGAAGGGCTGGGATTTCTTTTCTAGGGTCTGGACTAAGCTCCTGCAAACAACCTCTCCTGGCACAAACCCCCCTGTTCTTCTCAGGTCCTCACCCGCTGTGCTGCCTGCTCGATCGTGTGTCTGACATCCGTGAGCGGGAATGACACAAATCCTTCCGTAGTGATATGTGAGCTCGTTTGAAAGAGCTCGTTGGCAAAATACTGCAGAAGAGAAAAGGCAGGAGACTGATGAGGAGAGAACGCGGCAGGGACTGCCTGCTGGAAAGCTGGAGGAAGCCACGGGTAACTCACCAGGCAAAAGCCGTGGACAAGGATCCCATCTTCCTCCAGTAGCGGTCCGCAGGTGTCCGGGTCAGCCTCGGCCCGGCCGCACAGCATGCACGCTGCAGGGGAGAGAGCAGATGCCACCGGGAATGGGCATCTCTGCGGGGCATGGGCGAAGCGTCCCGGAGGGATTGCCCCCGGGGCTTGCTCTGCCCCTGCCCAGCTGGCTGAGGGGCAGGGCTGGGGGCCTCGGAGAGAGGAGGGAGCATTGCAGGCAGGAGGTCCCAGCAGGTGCACCCAGCTCAGCCTGGGCACCGCTTGCTGAGGAATGGAGGGGCCCAGCCCCAGAGCAGCTGGGGGGCTCAGGCCTCTCCCTCCGCCTCTCTCGGCCCCATGCTGAGCGCCCCGACAGCCCTGCTGCCGAGCTGCGGGGTGGGCACTTTGCTCTTACCCCGCTCCACGCTTGTGGTCATGGTGGACATCAATGATTCGCGGCAGGGGAGTCACGGTGCCAGCAGCGCTGGGGTGTCTCCTCAAAACGCTCCTCTGGTGACGCTGAGGGATGAGTGAGACAGCACCAGCCAGAGCCTTGAGGTGTGGGGTCCCCCTCCTCTCTCGGCAGCCCCCGTGCGCTCTTCTCAGCTCACCGGGTCAGGTGCCCAGCCTGAGCCCAGTGTCCCTTTTATAGGTAGCTTGGTCCTGTGGGTCACAGTGGTCACTATGGCATCACAATGGCTGCTATGACAACAGTGCCCTTGCCCACCTGCTGCCCACAGTGACACATCCGCCTGGTCTAGTGGGAGATGTCCCTGCCCATGGCAGGCGAGTTAGGACTAGATGAACTTTCAGGTCCCTTCCAACTTGGGTTTCTAACCATTCTTTAGGATTCTAACTTCCATGCTGCATTACCGCCTATCTGGAAGGTGCTTAGAGCTATAAAACACAGTAAAGTTTTATGCAGATGCAGGACGGAAATGGAATATTTGCCCTGGAAGCAACTAACGTGTTTTGCAGCGTTGTTCTCAGATGTGCCTTGCACTTATGGGACATGTAAAGCACTGTGGTATACTTAATAAGTAAGTTTGTTTTTTTTTTTCTTTGGGCAAGATGACTAAGATAATAATTCTAGAGGTTCTCTGTTCCACTGTTTTTCTTACGACAGATATAAAGATTAGGAACTGTATCCATTGGGGTTTGCAGTGTAATGGGCCATGCAGAGCAGCATCTCTTGTGATGAGGAGATTGTGATGCAATTATGTCAGCAGGCATTTTAGGATCATGTCCAGGGCCCGCCTCCCCATAAAGAGTACAGCCCTCTGTGTGTAGTCTTCTGAATTGCTCAAGGGTTGAGTGGTGGCAGAAGTGTTTCAGAAGCAGAAAGTACTTGGGCAAAAGAAACTTTTCTGCCCTGTTGCCAGCTCACTACCGGCAACAGTGAGATAAAGTAGAAAGGGCCTGTGCTGACAAAGATTTTTATAATAAGTTTATCAGACCAATTGAGAGACTCACAGAAAGATAGAACCCAAAATGTTGGTATCTCTACAGCTTCTTGATCTGGAAACAGCTAACCTTAATCAGAAAATAAGTGTATATGAGGACATTAAACCCAAAGATATCCTGTGACAAAAATGCAAAGATAATTAATATCAGATTCCAGGCAGGTTGCAAATGGCTGCCAAGCTGCCCATGCTGCACCAATTTCTCTTTCTCATTTGGTTCTTATGCCGTATCTCCTTGTCACCTTCTACCTCCATGGGTGGACTGAAAAGCCAAAGATCACAGAGTAGATAGACAAGGCAGGGAGGTGATAACCCGTTTTTGCCCTGACCCTACCAGAGCCATTCCCTGAGGCCATATTCAGATTATGCAGCCCTATGTCACCTTCTCAAATTGTGATAATGTTGTAAAGATCTTTTGGTGAAGTCTAAGTCCACCATTGTTAATACATGTCTGTTCATTAAGTGTACATGCAGCTCTCCCAGTGAGTGCTGTTTATGAACTCCCTGAATACTACAACTTGAACAGTAATGCCCTAAGTGTAGTCTTTCTTCCTTTATGTATTTTGGGATTCTTAAGAGGTGTCTTTTCCAGGTAATTGCTTCTCCTAGGTGAAATTATTTTAATTCCAAAATCAATTTGACATTGCAAGCTTTTTTTAAGAATTTGAGCTTAGAAGGGACTGAAACTAAAGAGCTTTGTTAATTGTACAGTTGATTTCTGTTTGCTCAGTGCTTCAAGTTATTTTCAGTGAAATAATATTATGCTTGTATCTGACACTTGGAAAGAAAAACAACAACAAAAAAAAAGGCATTGTGCTTGCTAGAGATTGTGAATATCCATATTGCTTTCAGCAGTTTTCACTCATCTATGCAAATAACCATGTGGTTGATTAGCTTGTCTGATCTTACATTCAGAATGCTGATCTATTAGTTATACACACAATTCAGAGATGTGGGGCTCTGAAAATTGATGTTATTCAGCAATTTTAGTGAACAGATTCAAATTTTAAGTTGCCTATTGTTGCCACAGCTCCGTGTTCTCACAGCATACAGTATCTGTACAGCTCAGTGCTTTCGGTGTTAAATAAGGTGAATACAAATTGTTAGTCTCTGACATTGACAACTGTTATCAGTGTCTTTCCTTTGCCATTGTCCAGGGGGAAGTTAATCGTCCTTCATACAGGTCATTAAACTCCTGAAACCACTTTAGCTTCTGTGGATTGATGTCCAGCTCTTTCAGAAACTATGAAAAGATTATTTCCCTCTTCTCAGGTCCACATCCTTTATCTGAACATGCACCTAACCATGGTTCTGGATATCACATGTTGGTAGTACTAAATATGTGTACTTCTATGAGCCCTCATGACAGCCTGGCAGTGATGCAGCTATGTCCAGAGATCTTCCCGATATTAAGGTTTGCCACTGTAGGAAAAAAATAATCTCTGTTGATAGCACCAAACTGAATGTACTGAACTGAACCTGTTCTCCTGAGAGGCTTTCGCCAGCTGCATCCCTTCAGATGCTCCCAGCCCAATGACCTAAGCTCTGATACTAATTTTGCAGTGGACAATCTCACAGCTGAATCTCAGAGCTGTGGGATTGAGGCTCAATGAGACATCTCCCAGGTTGCTTCCAACCTGAATTATTATGTGAATCTGCGATTTTCATTGTAGATCCAAATTTCCATTCTAATGTGCTTTACTGAAAGTAAACTAATTACTAAAAGATATTAGCTGGACTAGCAATATGGTACCCTGAAATGGAAAAGAGTATGTAAATGTCTACAAATGCAAGGTTAGTTAGAAAAAATGGCCAACAGAGAAATCACAGCAAAATGATGGGACATTTGTCCTCCATCTAGCACCAATAATCTTATCTTACAAAAATATATGACCAATTTGGGAAGTCTTCCAATCACACATAGGCTTAATTATTTCAGGGAGAGATTTTTCTCTTCCTTAAGATCAGTAATAACTTCCCTGGCAATTGAATATTGCTCCAAGTGCATAAATCCAATTTAAGTAATAACCACTTTTTAATTTTAGTTCAGACATGCAAACCAATCAGTTTAGCTTAAAATGCTGGTCTTATACTGCTGCACGCAACTCAGACTCATTAGAGAGAATTGTGATTGAAAACCACAAATTAAGCATAGATAGATTTAGACATTCTGCTGGTGGTGCATTGTTTTAAATAGTGATTCCCTCTGGTGTAAGGAAAAATTAAAATTCAGTGTCTTGTGCAGCCAAGCAATATTAAGATCCTGGAGAAGCTGAACACTCAAAGAGAGTAAAATAGAAGAAAATAAAGAAAGAGCACAGAATAACAAGACAAAAGCTCTATAAAAAAAAGAAGAAAAGTCTTCTGATTCTTATGCTATTGGTTGCATGTAACGGTCATGGTTCCAGATGGAAAATTTCCCAGATTCCTATGGTTTGGTAAAGGGAGCAGTACCAAATGACCAAGTTGGCCAGAAAAAAGGGGGAGATTTGCCACAATCATTGAGTGAGTTTGTTTTTTTCATCTTCAGAAAAGTATGGGAAGTTAATCACATTCTCGTTTATGTTGTGGTTTTTTTTTTTAATTTGGTGCTGAGAATGTTTTTGTCTCAGCCTACTAGCAATGATTGACAGTTGTTCACCTGTGAGAGCCTCCAGCAAGGTTTCTCGAGCTCATGTTTACTTAGTGCTTCAGAAAAGCCAGTGACTGCAAGAACAGGACCCGCAAGCATGGAAAAAAATCAGCTTTTCCTTTTGTAAACGTTTATATTGCAGTTGGGTTTTCTTTCAGATTTTTTCTTTGTCTGCTAGACTGACGGATGTTTTTGCATATGAGTTTTTTTAAAAATAAAAATTATTTTAAATGTCATTTATATTTACAATCTCCCTGACTGTTTTTGAACATGGCAAGAATATAGTACTTTATGGGCTAACATTTGGAGATTGTTTATTTCGTAAGTATTCAAATTAATGAAATGGGTTGAAAACCCCCAACTGTTTTTTCAAATGGCAAAAGGTCCAATTTAAAACATACAGGGAATTCCAGTTTAGGTGAGATGGCCTTGACAGGTATTACTTGGAAAGGTTTTGACACAAGAAAATGAGAACTGATTAAAAATCTGGGGTCATAAATTAAAAGTGAAATGGAGCAATATATAAAATATAAAACATCTAGGAGATGTGAGATACAATATCTTAAATCTAAAAAGGTGATTATCTGGATCTTCAGCATCAGCATGTGGAAGAGTTTTTTCAAATGACTTCACACGGGAACCGTGAATCTTATTTCTTTCCAACTCTCACAGCTCTTCTGTGATTTATGCAAAGCAACAGTAATCACAATCAGAGTCAGGGGAAAAAAAAAAAGAGAATGAGAGAATGTTTCCCTTAACAATTTGCATATTCTGAATAAATTAGTATTACATACGCCTGTCAAATTTACAAGCACATGTAAAATCTTTGTACAGTTTCCACACAGAGATTGAGCAGTGACAAAGCATGGAAGAGATTCAAAGTAGCTGATGTGAAGCTTCACAAAGATTTTTAATAGAAAGTCTTTTAGCTTAATTAGATTATTTGTTTTCAACAGCCATTTAAAATGACTGAAGCACAAAATGAAAAATACTGTAAAGGAGAAGCTGAGCATGCAGAACAGTTCAGGCTGGACACTCATCAGTGCAAGACCCTGTGCTTTGCACAACCAAAATGGTCCATATGTCCCTTGTTTCTGCCATATTACGTCATATTTCAGCCTTTTAAGATCTTATTTAATGTTTCAGAAGTTGAGCTCCTGGGACACCATTTACCTGTTTGGCAGTGTGTAGAATGGTAACTGACACATATATATCTGGGACAAAATAAGGCATGCAAAATATCATGGCTTAATGTTTTGTCTCAAATTGTGAGAAGCAACATGCAGAAAAGTGAAAAATTGGAGGGAAAACTTGGAGACGAAACGTAAAAAAGAGCAGAGGT